AAGAGAACCCAACCTTAAGTAAAACCCATCTAGTGAAAGATAGGATGCCTCTGACCCACAACTTTCCTCCTGGTGACCCACAATTTTTCCCTCACTTCCCAGTGGGAAGAGGAGACAGCCGTTCTAGCAGAAAAACTTTTTTTAAGAAGTGAGTTATCATTGCAAAGACCTGATGATGCCTTTGAAGAAGCACCTCATGAGAGCACAGAAGAGGAGGAGTGGGCTGAAGAAGCTCCTATTCTTTGAAGCTCTGCTGGGCTATCTGAACTGGTGCCAGAGTCAGGCATAGAGGGAGAAAAGATTCCAGAACTGGAATGCAGTTGTTCAAACTAGATTCTAACCTAACTGGACTGCATTAGAAGTTTTCAATGCTACTACCTAACAATGTCCTATCAATTCATCTTGAAAAAAAAAAAATTACTTCCTCTTTCACTTCCCTCGCCCCCAGTCCTCAGTATCTCACACAACATCTGAAGAACTGACTGTTCTGTGCCATCTGCAGCTAATTCTTTGCAGATGGTGACTGCAAGAAGGCACAGACACAGCTTATTAGACTCCTGTTTGTTACTGTGGTTCAGCAGACAGCAACATCTCCTCACTTTGTGGCCATATTTTTCACAGTCCACTCCAACAGTCCAAGTTCAACCAAGCTGTCATCATTAGCAATCTCCTGAATAGAAACAAGCTTTCCAAGCTCAAGAACACAGGATTTCCTGAACCATATCAGAGCAGGCACTCATCAAGACAATAACCAAAAGCATTTTAAACAACAACAACAAAAAAACCCACCTCAACACAGGAATCTATTATTATTATTACTAATAAGGTATGCAATAGCTTTTCCAGACAGTTTCTTTCTAGCCCCGAATGTGTGCATTCCCTCATAGTAGGATGGTTCATGTTCTCTATACAAACCTTCTCTACGAGAAGTCACTGATGGTCCATGTAGAGAAACAGCACTTCAAGCCTGGTAATTGAGTTGGAGAGACCTCTAGGGTATAAATATGCTTTATGCTACTCTGCTGAAGTAACAACTCCTTGAACATTTTGCAGCATGTCTACGTGCAAATTGGATAGAAGTTAGCTACCAAGTTCTGTGACAAAACCAATCCTTTCAAATGTACCTAATCCTACTGTTTTCCAGGAAAACAAGGGTTGGGGGTGGCAACTGCCTTCGGTACCTGTCTTACTGAGACTGCACTTGACCCTCACCATACTTTCTTGCAAATAGACATCAGCACCCCTACGGAGGTTACATACATTTGAGTAGAGGTTAAAAAAAAAAATCTTCTTGCTACAGCCTTCCTCAGAACAGGGTAGAGCAAGACTCAAGGAGACAAAATAAAGAACATGGCTTTAGGCCCTGTCAGTGGCATGTAAACAATGTGACATTAGAGCCCATGCAGCCTGATTTCAGGAAGGCAGGACAGAAAAAGTTGCTTTAAGTAAACTGGGCTGCAAACAGAATGCAATAGGTAGGCAAAGAAAGCAAGAAAAGGAGACAAAGAGAGGTATAGGTAGAATGAAATATGAGGAGCCCAGGAAGACAGGCAGACACAAGCCAACAGGGCAGGAAAGATCCTACAAGAAGCTAACAAGAGAAAACTTTGGGTTAGCAGAGTAAGCAAGCTAGAACTGACACCAAGCCCAGAAGGGAAGACCACATACAGCCTGAAAAGCTTAAGACAAATCAGATAAAGAAGGAAGATGATCGGAAAGACTCTTTGAAAGGGAAGGTGTGAGCACAAAAAGACACAAGGAAAACATGCAAAACTCCAATCCCTTAGCGCGTTCTCATCTGGAAATGGGACTCCAGATTTCAGCTCACTGTTTGTTATTTGTCAGGTTGTATTTACAGAACAGATTCCTTATCTGCAGGCTTTCAGTGAGCAGGGCAGGTTGACTAAGGTAATGCTATGCATTAGCCCCAGCATCTCTTGTGAATGGACATACGTATACTTACTATGGTTGGGTAGACTAAATGCACCCTTCCTTCTTCCAAGGAAACAAAAAATTCCAACAAAAAAAAGGGGCTGTAGCAATTTTCTATGTGGCAGTTTGTCACATGTTCTGTAACATTATAAATCTATTTCAGTTGTGCTTTTAACAACAATATTGCCACCAAAAAAAAAAAATTCCATTGATAGGAAGGACCTTCTTCACTCATAATTATCTTCATAAGTAGAAGGAAAGCTACCTAGCTACCTTACCCATTTTTCCCCTCAGCAGGATGGGGTGAAGTACTTTCCCTTCCCTCAGTTGTGTTATGGAAGTTCATCAATATGTGAATGATACACAAACTTAAAACGAATGTCAAAAATCTTGCAGAGTGACAAGTAACTGAACAACAAAGTATTTTCAATTGTGTTATATCGTCAAAGTAGAAAACTCATGAAACTAGCTGTTTAAATGGCATTTTTCCTCTTTCAGTTTTCTTCAAAAACTGATTACGTTGTATCCATCATTCAGGTGCTCAACTTATGCCTTTTTAATCACACTGTGTATTTAATTATCCATGCAAAGTGTGGTGAGGAGAGGAAAGTTAGACTATCCTCCCTTGGTCCCACTTTCCATGGCAACAGATTCTATTAAAGTATTTAAAGATTTAAACTATTAGTTTCAAATCTTCCTGCTATTAACAGATAAGCCAAAAGACTGAAGTATACATCAGTACTTTGGATTTCAGGAAAACTTTAATTTGACATATTTAACAGATCTTATGAATCATCCCTTTTTACATGACACTATAGTTTAAGATTTACCTTGCCTTTCAAGAAACTGAAAGATTTTAACATGCTCAGAAAGCCCTCTGGTTTGCACAGTACCTAAGTCATGTTTCAAGTGGAGTTTCCAAATGGATGAATTCCACTTTCAGATTATTAAACTTTGAAAGCCTGAAATATTCAAACAGCATATACTGGCTCAGACACACAGAAGTGTCTATTCCATTTTACCTAAGAGACTTGGCTTGCTTAGCAAACAGGGACGTGGCAAGCACTAGTGGAAAAAAGTTATTCTTCTTTTCCATTAGCTTAGGTACAGGATGAAGCATTACTTTGGTTTTAATTATCAAAACAAGAACTAATGCATTTAAAGAAACAACCTCCATTAGCAGTCAGCATTCGATTACCAATCCTAGTTGGAGAAAGAGGGGAAAAGCAATTACAGTGGAAGACACAGTAGGCAGATTTGACAGACTATCTGTCAAATGCAGAAATCAAACTTATATCATGACTTCTGCCCATCTATTAGGAAATACAAAGGGATTTAACTTTCAACATCCCTCAGTTTGATAGTCTAAGGATGAAAATGCAAATTCACACTCTTATGAGTAAAAGCTGGACTGTTTTAACACTAAAGTTGTAACTGCCAGATTTCTGGTATTTAAGGATACCATTGTTGTTTCAGCACTTGCATCAGCTATCCTTCCAAACTGGGAAAGATTAAAAAGTCAACAGGTCAATATTTCTACTGGTGCCCTATAGTTTGAGGCTTTGGAAGAATACCCTCCCCAAGGAAATAAAACCAAGAAAACAAATTTTAAAAAGGTTAAAAATTATACCTCTGAAAAAAATAACTGAACCATTACTCTTATACCAAACAGTTTACATGTAGAATATTGTTACCTCATGGCTAAGTATCAAATGCTGTTCTTTTTAGAATGGAAATTTAGCTGAAACAAGAGATTGCAAGTGGCACAAAGAATCAACCTGCTTTAGCTATGCCATTCCACAAACTAAGCCCATTTCTTTCGAGGCTGCAAAGTACAGAAGGGCAACCCACAGCAGATTTTCACAGCGAGTTAAACACATGATGAATTGTCATGCCAATAGAGTCCTGCTGAACTACTACAGACTTAGTCACACATTCACAAGTTAAAAAAGAACTGGTGAGTAAGATTACTTAGGAACTCATATATGCTACTGCCCACGACTACAGCAACAAAAGACGAAAGGTTCGGCCTCTGCTCTTCCTAGAGCTAAGAAAGAAACCACAAAAAGCCCAGACAAAGCACTTGTATGCCTTTAGCGAGCAACGTCATGACCAATGATCATGTTTCAGCAGTTTCTCACAAGATCTCCTTGTTTAAAGACTGTAGCTCAAGAACAATTTTCTTATCACAAAAGAAATACGACGGATGGCATCATATCACACTTCCTTAACTCAAAGATTGTAACCTTAAATATAGTCAGTAGCCTTACAAATACATTCACTTCACCAATATGACTTTACGCATTAAAGTAGACTAATAATGCATGTCCACTACAGCATCATAGAAAGGGTCCAAGATCGCTTTTGATAACTGTTCAAAACAATCCTAAAAATACACCACGGAAACTTAATTCCAGCCAGATATATTTGAGCCAACTCATTTCCAATTCAGTCATAAGCAACAACAAGAAAAAACAAAACAAACATGGACATATGTAGAAGTATAAACGTAAAACATATCAGGCCTAATGCAAATCTAACCAATGGAATACATAAACTGTAAAATATGAGCAGTAAGATAATGCTACATTGTGTAAGTTTAAAGAAAATAGCAATTCATGCATTCATATAATAAATGATACAAGTATAATCAATGCCTACTTATTTTTCTAGGCCTTTACTACTAAAATCCACCACATTTATTCATAGTTCAGTCGTATCAATACATTTAAAGTGAGTATTTCACACTGCTTTACAGCCAACTGTATGCAAAGATAGCTACCACAAACTACAAACAGAACCATTTAGTCTTGAAATCTGCAAACATCATAGCACACAAATCACAAAGTCTTAGTTTCTTCCATTCTTAAACTTAAGCATTTGGAATGCCAAGTTTACTGAGGTACTATCTTCCTCTAAAACATACACTTCTCTTTTCTGAAAAGTCCAAGACCACGTGTGTCTGAAACTAAACATGTCATCCTAAAACATATTAAACTAGATTCTAGTTTTTCATCAACTGCACAGAAAAAATTACTAACCCTGAATTACTGAAGACAAGTGCTTACCTTCAATCCTTTTTAAGGCCGACAGACAAGTATCCCGGCTTGGAAATTCAAACGGATTATTACAGGTCCGAATGGTGTCACATTCACATTTCCCGTTGATTATGTTACAACCTGTTATAAGGTTTTCATTGCATGGTTCAAATCCAAGAAGCTGATCATCGTCCCAGTTTTCATCTAAAATAAACAAACAAACAAACTTGCTCACTATGAGATTTCAGCTGCAGTATATAAATTCAGCTGCGTTGGAGTTGAGTGCAATTCACATCAAGTTCAACATCACGCTAGACAGAAGATAACAGATTAAAAAAATAATGGATTAATCTAAAAGTGGAATTTGCCAAATACCATGTTTCACAGCTATCCTACTGCCCATTTTGCTACAGCAACTGGCATTGTTTACCTTCCATCTATATGAAAAACTATGTCATCTCAGAGAAATGCATAGCTGTAGTACAAATGAGTGCTATTTTAACAGAAAGAACTTTTGCAGGCAGTTGAAGTTATATTTATAATGGAAGTGAGAACATTGGACAGAATATGCAGCTGTTATAGAAGTCAAAATTGAGTCAGAAAGAGAGCATTTTAAGATTATTTTAAAAACGCATCACATAGAATTCACTCCACAGAGATAACTTTTTATTACAAAAATACTGCAAGATGCCAGACCTCTGATTCCATTATATCACCAAAAGTGAGTTTTCCAGCAGTCCTGGATTATCCTACATATTCTAGAAGAACTGATCAAGCATATTGCACTCCTTGCTGTCAAGGGGTTGGGGATAGATGGGCCACAATGAGTCCCTCTGCTCAAATAACTGTGCCTTTTGAATTAGTCCCATCAAATATGTGTAACTGCTGTTCCCACTATAAAAATGCCTATTTTCCTTTTAGGAGGCTCCAGAAAATGATATAAATCCAGCCAATCCAGAATTTCAGTACAATTCCCAGTTCTACAAAATCTCAACTTCCTTCGGTCCAGTTCACAAAACAGCAACATCCCACCAACTCAAAAGTTCAAGCAAGACAGAATCATAAAACAGCCTGGATTGGAAGGTGCCTTAAAGATCATCAAGCTTCACTGCCCCTGCCATGGGCAGGGACACTTTCCACTAGACCTAGGCTCAAAGCCCTTTCCAACCTGGCCTTGAACAGTTCCAGGGATGGGGCATCCACAACTTTTCTGGGCAACCTGTTCTAGTGCCTCACCTCCCTCACAAGAAATAGTTTCATCTTAATATCTAATTGAAGTCCTACTCTCTTTCATTTTAAAGCCATCCCCCCTTGTCCTATCACATGCCTTTTATGCAAGATTGAAAAAACTAAACTAGGCATTAGGTATTCTTTGCTATAGAGAATCAGATAATTTTCCAAGCTTATCTGTCTATAAAACAAGTACTACAAAACAGTCACACAAAATCCACTGACTTCTAGTGATGACAAAAGGAACACATACTTTCAATCTTTACATCTTTACATTCAACAGCAGCACTCACATTGTGTGTTCTAAACAGTTCACCCCAATTTTATATACTAGCAACAGGTAAGTTCCTAATACAGATCCTGCCAAGATATATTTCAGAAAAGTTAAACCATCTTCCACTTATGAAGGATAGGGGTTTTTTTGTTGTTGTTGTTATCAAAAGTTGTCCTCTGGTATGAGAGGTCACAGCCAAATACAAACTGTTTGTCATTCATTAGTCTCATGCTCAACCATAGTCTGAAAACCTATAATAAATAACAGTATATACCCAATTAGCTGAGGTTGGCATGTAAGTACTGTTCACTCAGAAAAAATGAAGAATATCTGCTAACCTGCAGTTTTTCTTGTTTTGGGAAAAAAAAAAAAAAAAACAAAAACCACCACCACCTGGAAAGAGTTTTTTACCAGTTCAGTACTCTATGTGATCTACAGAAAGTGTCACAGCAAATTCTCACAGGTATATTTCTCCCTGTACAAGCAACTGCGTGCTTTCTATTATGAGCTGGCAAAGTATCCTGCTCAAATAAAGAACTGATAAACAACAAAGTCAGTTACAGACGTGAAGATGAGAATCGCCATGGGAACCTCATGGCTCTTCTACTCTATAAAAATAGCAAAGGAAGAGTAGTCATTGACCCCAGGAAGTAATTTCTTTTTTTTAGCTAATGTTAACCTATCATCCCATACAGCAACTGTATCAATGAAAGTCAAAGGAAGTGCAGCAGTTCCTGAAGAGAAACTATTAAAATTCTTTCAAAAGAAGATGCCCCTTCAGTAATGCTTAGGACAATTTAATCGTGAGGAGGCCATGCATGCAGAGGAAAAAAAAAAAAAAAAAAAAAAAGTCCTGAGAATTTGGAGAACAATAATACATCCTGTTTTTGAGAAGCCGGAATACAGTCTGGACAATTTGTATTTTAGAAATTACAGCAGTAATCCACGTAACAACAAGAACAAAAGCTACATCTACGGTCCAAGACTCCTTGTTTCAAAGTCTGTAACCACAGGGACCACAGCTTCATCCAGATCAGTCTAACAAAAGGATTTGGGTTGCTCCCTGTTTCTGAAATATGAGCTCTCATCCCATATCTCTGGGGGCAGGACAAAGCCCAGCTAGCCTGGTGGCTGCATGTGCTCTCACCCCCACAGCCCCAAGCCTCCCAGGCCACTGCAGTGCAGACAGGTAGAGCACACAGACAGCGATGCACTTGGTGCCTTTTTAGCAAACCGGTTCAGAGACCTCATGCCGCTTTGCCCTGCGGTATTTCAGCACTAGATCTTCTCAAGGCTGACAGATCAGCAGGATCCCTGTCACACAAAAGCTGCTCACCTCATGAGAAGTGGGACTCACCTGGCATGGAAAGCAGTCACCCCTTACCTATGGCAGAACGTATGGATGCAGATGCACTGCACACTGTGGCACCACCCACCTGGATTTCAGAGACAGGTTAGTCGATACCTGCTGCCTCTCAGGGCTTTCTAGAAAAGGTGGTACACAGAAAGCATACGGCCCAGTAGGAGGTGCACCTAAAGTCTTCAGCGTCACACACCTCAAAAATTAGCTCAGTAGCCATTTAAGAGGATAGAAGAGAATACCCCCAGTAATACTTGCAGACTATACTTCTAACATCTTCTGAATCTTAAAACAAGGTATTTTTCATTACTTGGTGTGAATACAGAAGTTACATTCCAACAAGAAGAATGCAAATCCAGTTTCAGCCTGCACAGCTTCTACCAGCCTGCTTTTCACACAAGTTCACTTGGAAACAAGATTTCCATCAATGAAGGAGCAAAAATGTAACAGGAGCTTATTTTAGTTTAGTAAATCAATGCAAAGTCTAGAATGATTTTTCATGCAGACTTAAGACCTTTTTTCCTAGTTGATTTTCTCCTTTTATGAACAGAATTTCAAGGTCCTACTAAAGGATAAATTGTTTACCACTTAAAGAAATCTTCAGACATCACATCAACACAGGTAGAACAAAATTCCTTGGAATGGGAAGTACAACCAGATGAAAGTATTCACATGAGCTACAGGGATGTAGCTCAATTGTCTCATTTCAATTCAAATTCAATTCAAAGCTTTGGTTACTTGATGCAAAAGCATCTAGTGCTGTCCTTGATGCAGATAAATAGCAGTCCAGTAAAGCAAGCTTGTTCCTTTAGAGGTCAGCAATATTTCAACAGACAATGGAATCATGTCTTGAACAAAACATATAACCTAGCCTCTATTATTCCCCAAAGTCATCACATCCTGTGGACTATTCCAGAAAACAAACTTTTACACACCAGTGATTTGGGACCTGGGACAGTTCATGAACTATTCCGAGCTGTAGCACAAACTTTGCTGCATGCTCTGCTTCACCTTCTCTATGGCTTCCCTTTCAGGATACTAGTCTTTCATGTCTACATCTCAGAAATCAGAATTATATGAAGGAATAAACAGAGATATGATAAATTGTCAAAGCTTTACTTCTCTGCAGGCAGAGCTGACAAAACCCAAATGTAAGAACCTGAGTCTGTCAAGCCTTGGTATGCACATCTTATCTCCTAGTTGACTTCTAGTAGACCAAAAAATACAAAAATCAAGTAGGTGTTTAACATTCTTGAGTGTTTAGAAGCAATCCAGCTGAAAAGAAGCCCAAGTATACTGCCAGTTTCCATCCAAGCTGATCTTTGTTTAACTGTGATTTTCACCACCTCATAGTGCCAGCATGATCAGGTAGGGACAAAAAAGGGAATGACCATGCTTTTTAGAAGCCTTGAGTTGTCAGTGGGCTCCTGTTAAACAGTCAGTTACTTAAGCACCTTTTGCGCACATGCCTTAAAGCAGTTCAAACGCTCGCAGCAGCCCGGTAACTACAGCTTCAAAGTAATTTCTCTTCCAAATAATTTCTATCTACATGTGATCCCCACTCTTTCCAACTCATTCAGGCAAGTTGCCTTTTCAGATAATAACATAGTTCTGCATTTACTCAGATCAAAGTTAAATCCTGGACATAATACCTTTTTAACTCTTCTAAGTGTACTTTCATACCATAAAGAAGCCATGGGGAACTTCTCATTAATTTCAAACTTCTTTTCATTTTCTTCTATCATTCATATAGTCACTTGCTTTCTGCAAAGCAAACATTTCAGCTTGCTAAAAATTCCCGCACTGCTCTGGGTTGCTGAACTCCCAAGTCCTGTCATAGCATGCATCTAAAAGCAGGGGAGAGGATTAAGGCATTAACAAGTTGACAAGAGGTCCTTAAACAAGTCCAGTCTAGGAAACAGTCTGAGAAATATATCTCCTGGTAAGCAGCATTCCATCACTTCTTTCATACTGAATCTTACCTACCAGTACTCACAACACAGCACCATGCAAGGTATGATGCTCACGGTTGAAGCATTTATCTTCTTCACCTGAAGAGCTGCTTGTGTTTTCAAAAGAGCATGTAACTGAGAAACTAACTTTGAGTCTTGTTTTTAAGGCACACCGTACCTCACTATAGTTACATTTACTGTCTCCATATGCAAAGGATCATCTCAAAACAGGTGCAAGCTAGAAGTACAAGGAAAGATGTTTTCAGAGACTCCTTCTCCATTGCTTAAACTTTTGCTTTTCCTTCTTTCAAGTTTTCAATTCCTTCTGCCCAGCACAGAAACTTCTCTTTTGTGTCCTGTCCTAACACCTCTCTTTCTTTCTGGGCAT